TTTGCAATATAAATGCTATATAAATGTTTATCTCAAAAATGTGACATTTACAGATGAATGAATAACTTGGTGAAAGTAAGACTGAATGATCCAAATCATTGCTGTTAATTTTTGACTGTGTAACTTTACAAAAAGCAGCTTATAATCCCGTTTCATCTTGTGGTTGTATGTTCAGGGACGGTTTCCGCCCCGGTCTCATTCTTCCACAGGCTGCTGAGGAGAAGCCAGTGGTGGCTCTGGTGTTCAAGGTTAGCTCTCCTCCATGTGTACTTCGTTTCATGAAAAGCAGAAATGTTCATCTTCATCCAGTCTGAGCTGAACATCTCCTTCCATGTTTTGAGATCCCCTAAAAGACCTGTTTGCAAACTACAAATAAGACTTTGTCCCAACATTGTCTTTCTTCTCGTAGCTCAGCCAGAAATCAGATTTGTTGAGTTAATTGTCTCAGTTTTCTCTGTCACATTGAAGGAGATGAATTTATTGACATAATTAAGAAGAAAATGTTGCACTGACTCATTTCTTTCTACGCTATTGTTTTCCTTTCCATATAATCCCAATGAAACAAATTTCTTTTGTTATTGTGATATTTTGTGCAGTAAACGCACCGCCGTCTCCTGATGGACCAGCCTGCCGAAAAGCAGGACGCTCTCTTTCTGTGGCTTCCGGAGAAGGCCTGAGAGAAACAGAAAGTTTTCAGCCTGGGAACGAAATAAGTCAGTCTGCTCATCTGCTGTGATGCAACTCGGATGTGATTTAAAGGTTGGGAAACAGAGATGAAGCAGAGTGTTCTGGATCGGTATGCATGCTTGGCTGCCTCTGTGCTGAGGCAGAGTGGGGGGAGGAAAAGCCGTGACGGCAGGAGCGGCCTGGAAATGAGGAGAGTGAGACGTGGCTCAGCAGAACCGGAGAACAAACATCTCTCAAATAATGATTGTTCCCCAGAAATCTGGGAGGGAGGAGGACAAAAAAGAGCAGAAGGTTCCACTGCGCAAACATCAGCTTAGATTTATTTCAAATCGAGCTGCAGCTCAAGGTTTGCTAAACTCCAAACTGCTTTCTAATCTTTTCCATGAAGCTGACTTTGACGGGAAGCACGGCCTCCTGTTTCATCCAATCACTTCGGCTCAAGTGACGGCGGTTCAGTGTTTACAGCAGAAGGGGAAAGGAAACCAGGTCGATACCTAAGAGAAGAGCAAAAGTTTAATCATTTAAACATGTTTACTATAATAAAACGCAGGATGTCGGATAAGCAGCACTGAGAGATTAACATGAGTATAAAAAGATTTGTCTCCCTGGTGTGGACGTGTTTATTTCAGTCAGAAGAAAGAACTCTCTCTTTCCACTAAAATGACTTGGTACTCATTCTGCCAAGATGGGAATAAAATCTGAAATAAAATTAGGAACGGTCTGTTTCAGAAAGTTTCTGAAGCTGGCAGGCGTGTTTTCCCATCACATTAAGCCGTGAGGAACATGTCTTTAGAAGGAATCCTTCAGAGACCTATAGCATCCCTTATTGGCACCACTGACTGACAGTAAAACACCTTAAAAATAAATTCTGCTTTTATTGCAGGAACACAATCTCTCAGGGACAAATTTTTTGAAAGATCCCAGCTTTAACTGAACTAAATAAAGTAAGTAAGCAAACATTTACACATCAATAAATAATTGTTTCGAGGCACAGAAGGAAGTCCTCAGACGCCTCCTGTTACACAGTCGGAGCAGAAACAGTGAGGGGTATTTAACCATTCCAGTTGCACGATCCATCTGAGCTGACCACGAAAGAAAGGCACCACCGAAGCTCAAGTTACACCTGAACTGTGACCCCTGACCTCACAAAGCTGAAAAGGAGGCTTCATGGATGCAGAGCAGCACCAGTTGGTCAAATGTCGTCATCAAGGATAATCATCATCAAATGTACAGTCTTAGCCTGATCTCTGGTCTCCAGCTGTAATAAATGAAGCTGCTTTGACTCTTGATTGTTCTCCAGCATCACTGAAGAAACTCGGATGATATGAGTTACAGCAACATTTAATTTCCCTTTGGGATAAATGAAGTAGCTTTGAATTGAATTGTGCTGTTGGGTCTGTGGGAGGATTTCTGCTGCCTTTTGAAGCTTTCTGCACATCTCCATCAGGCGTGCCTGCAACTACAGAGGGCAGAGTCGGACTTGCAGGTCAGCGTCCTTACAACATGAGTTTGTAGCTGTTTTCTCTGACAGGGAACTAATGGCTGAAACACGCTGCACCTGGAAAGTTTGGCAAAGACGAAAAAACTGCCACCAGCGTCGGCTAATTAACTCCTCACACTCCACGGTGAGTAATGCCCTCTTTAAACATGAGACGGTGGTGTGTGTTGAGCAGCTCAACACAGGACTTCACTCTGTGTGTGTGTGAGATCAGACAGGTAAGAGCCACGAGGCTGAGCTGTGTGCCGCTAGTTATCAGTGTGCAGCATCGGTTCGAGGCCAGAGAGAAGCACACTGCAGCATTGTTGCCGTCCAGGGGAGGAACGGCACGGCTGAAAGGACCCTAATCTGCTGTGTGCAGATCTGAAGGGGTGGGGGAGCGAAATGATGACGCTCTTCGTAGGAATGAGACGGAGCTTTGAGCCTGACGGTGGATTGTTCGGTTCTCCTGACCCATGTGAAGATCTTATTTAGCTGCTCTTGGGAAGCAGAGCGCCGCTGCACTTGTATGGAAATGTTGTCGATGTTTGTTCAAGTGGTGAAAGAAGATTAAAGGAAATAAAAACTGGGTTTTAGCCCACAGACGAAGGGAAAGAAAAAAAAACAAACAAAAGTAATGCACTGCAGCACTAAAATCAGATCCAACAGGATCAATAAAAAATCAAGCTTCCCCAAAACAAAAAACAAAACAAAAAAAAAAAAAAAAAGAAAATATATATATAAATTGCTCAATATCATTAGATGAATGTGAAAAATGCTGGGTTTAAAATATTTACCAATATGTAAAAATACAAAATCTCAGAGCATTTTTCTGGGGTTTTCAGAGCAAATATCTTGCTACACTTCAGAAAAGACAAAACTAACTTACAAGTAACTGATTAGCAAAGACTAGGAGCTTTTTAAGTACATAATTTCTTAATATCAATGAAAAGTACTTCTTCTATAAGCAGATCATTTTACTTTTAATAAAACATTTTTCCCATGACATTAGTAATGTAATCTACCAATGGGTCTAGTAATTTTCCATCAATATTCAGGAAATATTGGTTTAAAACAAATTCCTAGATGTTGTTGAAAAGTTACTTTATACACCTAATTTAGTTTTGGCTTATTTCACTACAGATTACACCAAAAATACTTGGTAAGATTTTGTGTTTTGCCATGCTGCTTTCCAAATTTATCTTAATTATATTGTAATCCAAATGGATTTGAATACACGTGTCACAATGCAGCATCCTCTGTTCAGTTTCAGCCTAAGATGTTTTCGAATTTATGAACCAGACATTAACAAGCAAACCTTTCAAGTATGACATATATGTGCATAAATATATCACAATACGATGAGATCAAAGCCTATTTTACTTAGAAATCATGTTCCTATGTTGTTTTTCCTGAAACATAGGAAAGACAAGGTAAATAGCTCCTGATGTCACCCAGTTCATCCAAATGGAGTGACCCCAATGTGTCAAGCAATAACTTAGTTTGTGATATGAGTTTTAAACTTATTCTTTCAACAGTAAGGTCAGTTTGAGAGCTTAATAAATTTTATATCATCTAAGGCCCTTGCATCCTGTCTTATTCTGTTGGAAATCCCCAGCATTTGAACTTATGTACGGGTAATTTACATATCATTTAATTTACATGCATTCAGGCAATTTTTAGGTTTCAAAAATTCTAATTCAGCCAGTGAGAAACTAAAGTATTTTCATCTCAACAGTTTTGATGGGCACACTGAACCTCAACGACAATTAAATCATTTCAGTCATATTTGCTAAATGAAATATCCTAATGTTTATCTCCATGTGTAGAAAAAAGGCCCGAGATCAGTCAAGCAGGGTTGGGTCTGTGTTACAACTGGGGCCATGCTGCCCTCTGGTGGTCAATATGTAAAAGTGCATGTTGGCCACCATAAACCTTGTTAAAAATCAGTTCGTGTAAATTATTCATGTAGTTTTTTTTCTTTTTTTTGTTGCTTTTTATTACTTTTACTCTGAAGGAATTTTAATCTAAGGATGTACATTATAAATATGTTAACAGTTGACAGCCTTACAGGAAAACTTTTAAGTGGAACAATCCTCGGCTGGATGTCCCAGTTTCTCCTTGTGTTTAATACATCAAAGCGATAAAATTCTGATTATTCTCCTGTGTAGAAATTCTGATTTTAGTTTCCAAAGAGCCTTTAGTTTCAATTTTTCACATCTTGAAGAAGAGCATAAACAGCTGAGGGCCGTTCATACTCATCTGTTTCTGTTTCCTCATCTGTTATGGGAGCTGAACACATGCCACATGACTTTTCGTAAATTTATAATAAAAAGTATAAACTGAATTTTAAAATTTGCAGTAATATAATGGCCTGACTAATTAACTTTCTAAAATTAACTTGTTGAATGTCCAGTTTTATTTCATAAAGAGCTGAGCAGGAAAATGAGCAAACTTGTGTAACAATTAACATAATGGGGATTTGTTGGATGTTAACTTGAAAATGGTGATTAAATGTATGGAATCTATCTAACTTATAGGTTTTTATTTTATATATTCAGGATCAAAATACGTCCCACTTCTCCCCAAAGCTACAGGCAACATTGAAACTTTGTAACTAATATTAGGTTATTTAAAATAAATTAATTTGAATAAAATGTGATTGAAAAAAAAGTAAGATTGAATTAAAATTTTATTAAATAAACTGGATTTAACATTTCTGACTGGAGATATTGAGAAAAATCTTCTCAAAATTTTCAGTTTGTTTCTCACATTTTCTTTCACACCGAGCTCACCATTTTTAATAGAACAGAATCAATAAATTCTTCACAAAATGTTCTTTTTTTCCTTTTAATTTTATTGAACACAAACATTTCTGACAGAATGCAAAGTCAAAATGTATTTTCCTTCATTCCTCAGTTAGTATTCTGTATTTACACCAGGGAATAGTGAACAGACAGACACCCAGACAGAGGAGAAGCACACCGAGCCGCTGTTTACAGAGAGAGAGACTGGAGAACAGAAAGTTCTGGATCAATAACAGTGACCAGCTGCTGGCAGTGGAGGCTCCTCTGAACATGTTGGATGTTACAAATCCCTTTGCTGTAGCGTGAGCGCGGGGCCTTGAGAGGAAGTTTTCATCTTTTTTATTCCCCGATCAAAAAAAAAAAAAAGAAAAGAAATGCAAAGCGGGTTTTTACAGAACAGAACCAAGTCCTTCTGTTTGACTGGTTAAGAAGAATAAGAAGAAAAAAAATCACATAAACCAGCAAAACTGATTAATCCAGAGAAACAAAAAAAGCAAAACAAAACAAGGCGAAATGTCACTTTTCACACATTTCCAAGCCAAAAGTAAGTCAGTTAACTTTTTTTTTGTTTTGTTTTAGAAAAGACCAGAACAAGTTCCACAACATTTGAAAAGCATAAAAACATGAAGAAAATAAATCTTAAAAAAAAAAAGGGATTTTTAGAAATTATTCATGCTGCTTCTGACAAATCCGATCATTTCTGGAAACCTAATTTATATGCTCTTAGCTTGTGATGCTAGATTTGAGCGTTAAAACGTTGAATATCTCCTTTTGACTCGTTGCATTGGCTTGTGTCCGTGTGGTTTTGGTCATGGCTAATCTTTCTTAAACGAGACTGCGGCCAAGTTAGAGTAAGGTTCTCAGCAATAATCTGACCCTTGAAGTATTTATTACAAAGGATTGAAAAGAATAAAACATCCAAAAGGAACCGGAATAACACAGCCATACAGGAGATGTGAGAGGGTTTGAAGAAGCTTCATTTACAGCTGAATGGAGCAGCGAAAGAAAATAAACTGACAGGAGGAAGTAAACTTTGAAATACAGAAACCAAGAGGAAGGGAATGCATGGCGTCGTTTTTCAGTCTAAAGGCACTCAGCCGCTCGCTACTGGCTACATCACAATCAAACTAGACGCTGAACTCTAATCAGTTTAAGCTAAACCTGATATAAAATAAACCTCTGCTTGGTGGTTCACCTTCAGAAGCTTTAGAACTTGTGAGAGTTTGGACTTTTTGGAAACAATTTTTAAAGAAAGATTTTTGCTGTTTAAAACTTCTGCAATCACGCCTGACTTTGTTCAACAGTTTATCTTTTTTACGTTTATTTATTGACCACTGTGGTAAAGATGCAAAAAGAACACGACCTCATCAGAAAGCAGCGAAAAGTCCAAACTTTACTTTAGGAAGATTTAGTCATTGGGGAACATTTCTATGTTTTTGTTTTATTTTAGCACTTTTTAAGAAAGTCATAATGGAGCTTTGGAAAAGTTGTACCACCTCTTTAAAAATTCTAAAAACGTTTCTTTAGATATTGTAAAGTTTAGGCTAGTGGCTGTTCTTTTTTTTTTTTTTTTTAATATCATTCATTTCCAGATTTTTGAAAATTCAACACCCGCCTTACGTAAATAGCATGGGCCTCTGTGACTCTTAATATTCAACTTATGCATTAAGTTCCTTCACAGTACGATCAGCTGAACAGTGTACAGAGTCGGGAAATAAATTTGGTACATTTATTATTATAATTTTAAGAGTTGCCAACACTTTTGTTTGAAAAAAAAAAGTGCTTTTAAGGTGGGAGTTTTTTCATCACTGATTAAATTTCCTGAAATTTCAGGTTGGATACATGAATTTTGAGACTTTCTACCATGAGAGCCAATAAGTTTGGAAGGTGCTGCCGTTAAAATAATTTCAAATAAAAAATATTCACACATTTCATAAAACTGCTAGAAGGAAAAACTGATTTCCATGTAGTTGTATGGGCTGATCTTTAAAAAGACTCAATACAAAGGCCAATAAATGACATAAGATGCTGATGGATTAGTGACACAAAACATCTTTTATTGGACTATTTTAATGCTTCACAATAATTTACTATTTTACCAAATTTAGACAAGCGCCTTCAGATTTGATGCCACACAACAAAAATAGAAGCTGTAAATATCCAAAGTTCCAGTTGAATTCGGTTATTATGGTAACAATAAATATGATAGAAGAAAAAAAATATCTCTGGCTATGAAGGAGCCAAATACAAAGACATAACACAGTTGGATCTATATTTCTAAAATGAGACATAAGAACAACTACATCTCAGTCCACACTAACTTGATGTTTCTCTAACCTCTAAAGTCCAAACCTGTTGTCTAACCTACTTGTCCAAACCACTTTAAGGAAACCTCAGGAAAAGTGTGACCCACGTGTGAGACAGAAGGAAGAAATGTGAATTTTCACAACTCAAAACACAAAAGTTTTGCAGCACACAAAAAGGTATGGAATTCACAGAGTCCTGCTACATCAGAACCGCGCATGTTACTGTTTGGTGGTATTTCACCATTTTATTTTATGAAGAATCAGCCGATTGTCTGATAGTGAAACCTCAGTCCTTCATGAGAACCCACAAACAACTTGGCTGGATTAATGGAAAAGTGGGCCACACTGCCGTTTCATTTTAGATTTTGTGGATATCATGTTTTCGTGCACCTGCAGAAAATATTTATACTTGTGAATCGGTTTTGTGCAGATGCTTCACAAATTGTTTCAGAAACACAACGCAGAAATCTTTGTTACAAATGCAAAGTTCCAAATAGAAAATGTCAACCTGAACAATGAGTGTGGATTGGTTTTAAAGTTCCCAGTAAATAGGGGCTCAAATGTGGGTTTAGCTCCCATATAAAAATCAAAATCATGATTAAACAGGACATTTTTCGATCAAAATGTTTTGATAGTGCTGGAATTGTAAAAATTAGAATCATACATTTCCCCCTGCAATTTATTACAAAGTATTGCATTGTAAAAATCGTACAAATGCAAATGTTTTCAAAGCATGGGTGATTTCGAATTATGCACAAACCTTAATTTGTCATTTTATTTTTACAGGGTTACAAAGCTTAATTTATGAGTAAAAGACATCTTTGACCTAGTTTGTCCGTATACATGTATTTTAAGACAAGATGGAGAACTGCAAACAGTGTGATGAGGTTACAGGTGAATCTACTCACATAAGGAAATAACTTTAATGGTAGATTTTAAGCGAGGTTTCCATCATTTACATCCTGCAGTGCAGGTTTTCATTGGTCCAGTTCATTTATATTCAAGGCCCATTATATTTGGCTACACAATATTTAGTTAAGGTTAATGTGGCATGATAAATTTTAAGGAGAGTTATAAATATATTTAAGAGATGAAGACAATTTAAGGCATGAGAACTGGAATTAAATAGGAGCCTATAAAAAGAATTGAAGCTGGGATTTAAAAAAATCTAAGCAAAAACATTAAGGCCCCCTTGAAATTGAGTCCATGTACAGGTTCATATAATATGTAAGAGTGGATAACTAGGTCTTGGCATGAAAATTTCAGGCATATGGGGGAAAAAAACTAAAACATTTTATCTTCTAACTATTTGATTTATAAAAAATAAATAAAACATGTAGTCAGCTTTTGAAGAGCAAATGTAAGACACTAACAATTCATGGCGACCAAGCCCACCATGCTATTTGTCAGAAGCCAGGCAAGGACAGAAAATGAACCAAAAGAAAAACTGAGGATTAGAAACTCAAAAATCCAATATTTTTTCAATCAGTTAATGTCCCACATTATGTGCTAACAGCAGCACTCTTCGGTGTGGAAGTTGAGACTAAGTGATGTGTACTGAAGTCTATTGAGAAGTCTTTTGAATATCAGTAGAGTGTTTGAAGATGACATTGAGGTGTAAGAAACTAATTTCTACAGATATTTTGGCTTCTCCTTTTAAAGAGAGGGATTGAAATTTCTTCGGAAAAAACAGAAAGCTAAAGGTTTTACAGAAAAGTTACTTTGTCTTATCCTTCCAAGCATTCAATCTCTGCCACACAGCACTGTGAATTTAGAAATGTAAACTTTTTGGGCTCAGATTGAAGGTAAGCGTCTCTATAGAATAGCGATCTTTATACTGTGGTACAAAGCTATTAATGCTAACACTGCTAATTGCTAGTATAAGAAGCTAAAGTTGGATAATTGTTTGTGAAGCCCTGTTTTACCATGTGCTGAGATGTTGCCTTTGCTAAAAGTGTAATAGATTTAATGATGTCTTAAAAAGCTAAAAAGTAATAAAAACATTTTGAATGCATTTATCTGAAGAGAAATCAGAATTGGCTCACTAAAGTTACTATTCACAAAACTCTGATGGGTGCATGTATAAACAGCCTGGGAACAAACTTTTAAGGAGGAAAAAAAAAACAAGACATTAACTCTTATGTCAATATTTCTCACAATCATTTTTCCATTTTTTTGGGAGAGTGAAGATGAAATGAAGGAAAATGCAGGATTAAGAAGCAGAAAGCAACAAAACCCGATCACATACCAATTCACAGAAATACAGCAACTTTGCAACAAACCACATGCTTTAATAAGACATTAAGGAACAGCTAAACAGACAGTGAGAACAGTACTTGAACAAAAAACATATAAAGGAAAAAGAAGACCAATAATCCATGATCACAATAATGAGCGTACTGCATAAAGAGTAGTAGAGTCGGTCTTACATTTGTGTGCATCTTAAAGGCAGTAAATCTGTGAAGTAAAGCTACAGTTCATCCAAGTTTATCTAGAGAAAATATTACAGATGCTGATCTGCTTATTACGTACAAAAACATAACGTATGAATATCTATTGTTTTAGAATGACTGATCTGGGTGGATGTATAAGGAACTAAGGCGTTGCATGAGGTTTATCACTCCTGGTCATATTCCCACAGAAACACACATTTCTTTGCAGTTTATCTTCTGAGTTGCTGCTATTTTTTTCATAATGCAGTGGGGTGGTGTGTGTGAAATTGTTTCGAAGTTTCAGTGACTGTGACCACCCCCGCTTTGAACCTGTAAAGCCCAAACCCCAAACTCTCCCCGCCCAACCTGCACCCGGACATTACGCTTTGCTCTCATTGCCGTTTGCCTGAGGTGCCTCGTTGGGGACCGTCTTCACCTCGGCCGTGGCATTCTTCACCTCCGGCTCGGTTTTGGCGTTGTCGCTCTTCGCAGTCTTCCCGCTACGGGCGAAAGCAAAAGGAGTGAAAGAGGAGAAAGGAGATTCCGTTAGAATCGACGAGGCTCTCTTTTCGCAGCTAAACTGTCTGCCTTTTGTCTGATTCCTCAAAGGGAGGAAAGAGGTGAAAACATGCAGGATGCTTTGAGGGAATCTGCTGTTCTCGCTCCTGGAACTGAATGCATTTCACACTTAATGGGATTGAGCTCGCTATCCTAGCCAGGCATCAAACAGGAGCACATGGATGTCACAGCCACTTCCCAGGAACAATGAATGCTGATGTGGAATGACACAGGGCCGGTACAGTAGACACAGCGCTGGAAGGAGGGAAGGACCGAGGCACGGCCTACAACAGCCACTACAATACGCCAGGGGATTACATGCCATCTGGACTCAGCTGAGCTCAGACACAATGGGGACAGACTTTGAAGCCGCACATTACATTTTTTTCTTTCCAGTCTAAAAATGTTTTTTTCTGTCCTGCCTCTCAAACAACTGCTCTCATCCTCACGCTTTTCTATCCTGTCCACCGATAAAAAAAAAAAGAAAAGGAAAACCTCATAGAATTCATGTTCAGTTTCGTTCTGCCTTGCAGAAATACTGAACACACATTTTGTCAAACTTTTGTGCACGCTGCTGGGATTTTATGTGAGTGAAAGAAAAAGGACTTATGGTTTTCTCACTTTTTTTATGGTCTTTTTTTTTTTTTTTTTTTTTTTACAAATAAAAATCAAAAATGCATGATGTGAATGTGCAAACAGAAGCTTTAGTCAGTACTTTGTCGAACTGGAACTGGAATTGACTGCGGTTCCAGCTGCAGGATGTTTCTCCACGTCTAGAAATCAAAGTTTGAAATGTTCTTTGTGAAACAGCTCAGAGTTTCTATTGTCAAACATTTTCCATCGGATTTAAGCCTGGACTTTGACTGGGCCATTCTAGCCTGTGACAAAGCAATGCATTTCAGCAGAACAGTGGATGATTCCACACGGTATTTAAATACATTTCAACATAATTTTTAAAGATGACATCAATGATGCATATACATAACAAAATTATTATTTGTCATGTATGAAAGAAAGAATCACTAGTTAGCATTTAAACAAAAATCTGTTTTAAAAATGCTTCAGAGTTGAATGCAACACCAAACTATGTCTGATATGGAAATCAACAAACAATAAATCCATGTGCACACTTCCATAATGATCATGACTTTTGTTCACTTTTAATTATGACATCTGTCACGGAAAGCGTCTTTAAACTACATGACTGCCACTCTATTTGACTCCGTTCCCTTTCTCTCCCTCTTCTGAAGAAACTTTTTTTTCGCCCAGGACCTTACTTGTACATTTCAAAGGTAAATGTGATGGATAAAAATACAGGTCACACTTTCCAGGTTTGCATTTGCAAAACAATTAACAACTCTGTTTCCGTCACTTTTAGCAAAGCTGCAGCATTTGCAAAGGCTGGACTGTGGATTTCTAATGTATTAAACAGGATATTTACAGACGAGTCTCTCATGAACATTTAAGACAAATGTTCAGCATCAGAATTGCTTAAAAGACAACACAAGGCTTTTATTTTGATAAGAGATTATATTTAAACTGGAATCTTGGTTCAGTCCTTGATTAGATGTTGATGTGCCAAAAACCTCTGCATTTCTCTTGTAACTTTTACTTAATAGACGGACCATTCACACTTTAAATTGATATGTCACGTTTTCAGATTTTAGCTTTCAGCATTTGTACGGTCTGCAGATTTTTACCATCTGCAAACAGAGAGGCTGGAGCTGATGGAGTCTACGGCAATGAAAACGGCGGCTCTGATGGAGGACGGCACAGCGGGAGCGCTCCGCTTCAGGCCCGTCTGAGCTGTGAAGGAAAATCCCCCCAATGACAAGTCGGCTTTCATCACACTGATTTGGAGCTGACAAGCTCCCTGCATCCAAGTAGCTCTAAACGCTTCGCTCTTCATCACTGACATCCTCCCCTGTGCAGGCGAGTGAGCAAATTAAGAGCTGGAGGAAGAGAAGGACGAGTGTCTCTCAGGAATTCATCTCCTGCTACAGGCTTCTCCTCCACTTCACAGGCTGTCAGGAATCAGCAACGTCTGCAAACTATGAAGCGGATTTCAGAAAAATCAGCTCCAACAATCCAGCTGCTGTTCAGAGCTGATATATCAGGGAGACGTGTGTGTGGCCCCGACACCAAAAACACCTGCGTGGGATCACATTTGATTGAACTGCGATCGTTGTTTTCTGTAAGGCAATGGAATTATCTTGATTTATTGCCAGAAAAAGATTTTGCTACCAAAGCTGCCTACTTTGACAAAAAATATTATCAAACAGAATTTACATACAGCTATGTTCATAAATTTCATCAAAGGTTTTATTTTATTGTTATTTGTTTTATTTTATCTTACAGTTTAATTTAAAAAAAAATCATATTTTCTTTTCATTTATAATTTGCTTACATTTTATTTCACCTTTTTATTTAACTTTTTGTACTTATTATTGATTTAACTTATATTTTCATCACTTAAAAATTACTATTTTATTTCAATTTATTGCCTTCCGTTATGTTTCTTATGAATGCCTAGTAGGGAAGGTATGATCCAACAATAGTAACATTTTTACCATTGTTTCATTTCATTTGTTTCACTCTATTTTTTATATCATCTATTTTATTTTAGATTGCTGCAGTTTCACTTCATTTGTTGATTCTATTTTAACATAATTTTGTGTTTTCTATTCATTGTTATTCTATTAACTTTAATATTTAAATTTCATTTCATCATGTTTTTAATTGCTCTATTTTACATTACATGTGTCATGAACTATGAATTTTACACTGTTTTCTATTCTTTTTTCTTCCATTTTATTAATAAAAAAAAGAAAAACATGAAAAAATTTAACTCGGATTTTTTTTTTTTTTTCCTGAAAACTGTCAAATGTAGAGTTTTGTTTTAGTAATTTATTTTCATCTTTTTGATGAAATTTTTTTTGTTAATCTTATCTTTTTTTTTTTAATCACACCTATTAAATCTTTTCCCACATTGAGCTACATGTTAGCCTGCGGCGCTCGGCGCTAACGAGCAGAACGGTTGGAAGATGCTCCTTTCTGTGAGGTTAATAAGCAAACAGGTGGAGGTGGAGGCAGTGGGTGAAGGGTGGAGGCATGCAGTGACTGATGGTGAACATCTGGCAACGTTAAAAGAACTTCCACCCTTAAATGGCCCAAAAACTGACCTGACATCGACAAGTGCTGATGTCCAGACTTAATGTTTTTAGATTTCCCACAATGCATTGTTTTCTCACGCAGATGTAGATGCCAGTCTTCAAAAAACACAAATTAAAACAAATAAAAAGCCACGATGAATGCTATAAAATTTATGAATATTTACTGTGTAACAAATTCCTCCTAACTCTTGAAGTGTGGGACGTGTCTGCTGTTGCAGCTGTGCTCCTTCTTCCACATGATCAATTCAGGTAAAACAGCTCCTGCTTTCTCTGGATCTCTGCCCACAGCTGATGCTTATTGGATCCTGGTACCGAGCCAACGGCCAAACATATTTCAGGGTGAGGTGGAGGCAATCAATATTTACCACAGGTCAGCAGTTTCAACAGGGGACTGATGAAATGTGATCTTCATTTCAAACTTTCTTCACACTTGGCCTCAAACTTGGCTGCATGGGGTCTTTAAGAGCAAGTTTTGTTTTATTAAGATAATTGATTGGTTGTATTTGGCTCCAGATTTTAGCCTCTTAAAATCAAATCTCTGCCAATGAAAAAGTGTTTAGATGCATTAAATCACAGTTCAGCGATGTACAGAAGCTTACTGAATTAAATGTCAGTGAGTTTCAGGGACATGACAGCACAAAGGTGAATTGTTTCTTCTTTTGCTGTTTCCTCGCAAAAATGTACTGATCAGTTTATATGGCATGACTAATGTGGAACCATGCATGTGGGAAGAACCGTTTAAGGGTGAAGTTCTCCTAAAAAATGGCAGCCCTCATGAAATGACCAGAACAAAAGGGAGCAATGAAGGAAACGGAGATGTTCATACTTATTTTGGGTTGATGTGGTGGAGTCTGAGCATGGGGCACAGCGGGCGTCGTTGCTCTGGCCGTCTACTGGTAAGTCCTTACTCTGGGTGCTGCTGGGGGCTTTCACTGACTCACACGGGTTCTGAGGCCTGTCGTCATTAGCGGGCGCTGGGCTAACTGGCTCTAATACAGGAGGGATGGAGGCAGGGGCAACTTTTGAAGTGTCGCTGAGGTCAACCAGGGACCCGACGCTGCATTTGGAGTCTGCTTTGGGTGAATTGGAAAGTGATGCAGTGGTGTTTTTAGGAGAGGAGTTAGTCTGCGGCGTGCTAAAGCTCTCTGTAACTGAGTTAGCAGCAGCCGGGGGGAGTCGGTTTACCGCCGTGTTCGGGGAGTCGGCAGCGGCAGGTCTGTTTGGCAGGAAGTAGCAGGGAGGAGGGGGGAGAGGCGGAAGAGGGAGGGTAGACACAGGAGAGGAAGCATAGAGCCAAAAAAATATGAAACAAAAAAACGGTAGAGTGAAAGTGCAAGTCAGGGTAACAACAAGGTTTTAAGTGCTTTTGTGCTTCAGTGGAAAAAGTAAAAATCTATACAGTCAAAATGTTAGCAACAAAATATTGGAGGGTAAAACACAAAATAATCAAAAGAATGGACAGGCAGTTTTCGCAGGATGAAGGAGTTGGTCTACAGCTCCTGCTCTGAGCTTTTACAGAGACTAAAGGGATTCTGTTTGGTACAGAAACAACATAAAGCCACACAAATCCAACGTGAGCCGGACCTTAAACCTAAAGAGCTGAAATGATTCAGGTCTCAGCAAGTCACCAATCATTTTCTCCACTCTGTTGGTTAGAACTCCACACCAACATGTTTTTGAAATGAAATATCGGGCTGCAAATAATTTGTTATGAACGTTCCTTCAAACAACTTCCTAATCTGTACTGCAAAACGAGCATGAAAACAGCTAAAAGAAATGTAGCTTCTCAGCCTCAAAGCTGTATATCAACTGAAGTATTAATATCCATTAAACCGTTAGGCAGTTTTTCTTAATGTTAAAACCTCTATTTTACATGAATTTCATTAGGATTTAATGTGACAGAGCAACACAAACTGCAACATGATTATGAAATGGAAAGAAAAACGAGAGGTTGCCTGATGACTGCTAATGATTAGCCGTGTGTATGATCAAACCTCAGTACACAGAGAAAACGGGGCTGAATTTGTCTTCACACCTCACTTTTCATTTTATATTTGTAGAAAATATTTTGAATCATGTGTAAGTGTCTTCCTAGTTTACAATTCACAAGAAATTTCAATCAAATATGGAAAAGTTCAAGGGGTATGAATACTTTTGCAAGCCACTCATTCATGAGTTCGAATGGCCTAGTCAAAGCTCAGACTTTAATCCAACTGAACATTTGTTGTCGGCGTGTTGCTCTCTATTAAGTTTGAATGACGTCGAGCAATTTTGCAAAGAATCAGGAGTTTTAGTGTGTAGATGAGCGAAGCTGGAAGAATCAACAAAGCTGCTGTTAAACGTCGACACCAACAAAACTATGACTTATTTCTCTTCAACCTCATAGCTACTAAAGGTTGGTTAATCACCTCAATTCTGATATCGTACACTAAAACTTGAGGATGTATTGTGACAAAATGCGAAAAGGTTCAATGGGTATGAATACTTCCATACAGCTGTTTTTATATTTTAGCCCAGTCTTATTTTATCTGAAGATTTCACATATTTAAGCCTTCCAGCCACCAATTAAGTGTGTAAACTCGGTTTTGGACCATCTCTCAAAGAGCCAATTAAAGCGCTCGGTTCTCACTCTGGTTCTGTCAGCGGGGTGGTCTCATTGGGCTCAGTGGGACCCCCTCCTTCTTGGTTCGGGGTGTTTTCTTCTTCTGTTCTCACTTCCACAATCGGCTCCTTAGACTCGTCCTTCCTGTCGTCAGAAAGAAAGGAAAGAGCAAACGGATGCATAAATTCAGCCGTGTGTTTGTGAGACATGAGGAGGTTTCAGTCAGGCAGTCAGTCTCAGTCAGGCAGTCAGTCTCAGTCATGCAGTCAGTCTCAGTCAGGCAGCCAGTCTGTATTGCGGCCCGAGAACACATGGTCATCTCACGCAAACGATCAGCAGCAGTGTAACACAAACAAGCTCAAAGATTCAGACACACATAGACGGTCTGTCTGGCTGTCAACCGCGCCGTCTCGTTCACTCAAGCCAATATTTGATCATCCTCCACCTCCCCCCAACCTGCGTGCTCTGATTGCAGGTTTTTTTTTTTTTTTACCCCCGGAGGGCTTCGCCGCCGCCGCCACCACACTTGGCTCTCTGATTATGCTCGGCTTTAAAAGCGTTTGCTGGCAGGGAACGACATGTTTGAGATCTAAAGGTGCAAAACATCTCTGCAGATCTCGCCGCTGCGACTCGGTTCACAGGATGGCACAGGCTCTGAAGAAGTGTTTTGTGAAGGCTTTGGTTGAAATATTTATTTGTTGTGTGCATTGCCTCCATACGGAGAAGCATATTGAGGTGAATTCTTGATCAAAGTACAGCGTTCTCTTCAGGAAGGTTGCATTAATAATTACTTTGCTCCAAACATGCTAGCATTGTCAGTAATTCCTAATCATTGAACATAATTGCATTTTGCATTCATTGTTTGAGAAACATCATCCTCCAGTATTACTGGTAATAGTGGAGGATGATTAGGCTACTTTAAAGCTTTGTGTGAAAAGCCTTAAAGTAAATATGTCTTTTAGTTTAGCAGACTAATCTCACTGTGCAAATTTTTAGAAAAATTGATCCTTTATTTGTTTTTGTTTTTACAATAAAAGGTATTTTTTAATAAATTACTGCTGCCAAACTATTTTTTTTTCACCACCAACACTTCTTATTTTTACTCTGAAACCGTAACTATTTTTGCCCCTTTTACTTTCTTCAAATTTGCTGAACTAGTGATTGTACTCGTGTTAAGCAGAGTGGAGGATTTGTGATGCTGTGGGCCTGTTACAGTGCCCTGCATTATGAACATTAGTAATAATAAAAGTCTGATATCTTGAGAAAAACATGAGAAAACTTGGAGTCTGCTGTGACTGGGTCTTTCAGGGGGATCATGGTCTTCTGGTAAATCAAATCCACCTTCCTCCAAGGCCCAGTGAGGAGGAGGCTGACCACCAATTAACAGCTGCATCTTCACCAATTCACCAGGACATTTGGTGCATCTTTACCAGAATTTACACAGCATGTCAGATTATATTTTTCCTTAAATAAATCCAGAAGCAGTCAGCAAATCACAATGTGTTTGCTTACGAGAACGCTGCCTTTCCCTCCTCAATGTCCTTGCTCTTGGCGCCCGGGCCGTCTTTCCCGCAAACGTTGACTGCGATGCACATGAGGAGGCCGCACTTGTTGAGGAAATAGCAGGTGACGTCCACAGCAACCAGCAGCAGCAAGAAGACAACGATGAGGATGCCCACGATGGCGCCGGTGCTGAGTCCGGAGCTGCCGTCTGCAGTGTCTGAAGAGGAAGAGAGAGACAAAGGGGGGATACGCAAACCACACAAGACAGAAGAGAAAGAGCAGAGGAGAGGAGAGGAGAGGAGAGGAGAGGAGAGGAGAGGAGAGGAGAGGAGAGGAGAGGAGAGGAGAAAGGAGGAATCACCAAGTACATTTAAAAACAAATACAAAAAAAAAAAAAATAGCAAATGTTATAATGTAAAAGTAGCAATAGTACTTTCTACTCAAATTCATTTTTAAGCTTTTAAAACATGAAATTGTGAAAGGTGAATCCAAGAATAACTTTTAGTTGTTCTGCAACAGTGTTCTTGCTCTTTGCTCTGGGGGTTTGAAAAATATTTGGGAGAAGAAACTGAAGGATTTTGGAAATAAAATCTGGTGGAGAACATGATGTTGCTGACACGTTTCATGCAGTGTTCTCACTGGCTTTAGTTGAAGGAAGTCCTGCATGGTTTCCAGACAATGTCCAGAACAGTCTGGGCAGCTTCGTTCTTCTCTCTCACGTGTAATCTGCTGTGCATAATAATTTGGACCAGTGCATTTTGAGGTTTTTATTTTTGAAAGAAATACTGTTCTCCTGGGGAGCTTTGTTCAGTAAAATTTGATTTATACAGTAATAGTTCATGAAAATAATACTGGCCATCATTTGCATTGACCATTTAAGAAAATCTGAGAAAATGTCACAAGCATAATAATTTGGAACACGGTGTAAATAGTCCACAGTATATCCCCCAGAGGTAATGCACTGTAAAAAAAAAAAAAAACAACAACAACAATAAAACCTAAACACAGGGATGAATTCAGAGAGTGAGTGAGGCTCAGATGCAGTAAAGGCTGTTTTCTCGAAGCACTGTGGTCTGCTCAGGATCAAAAGCTCATCAAACTGTCTGGAGAGAGCAGGAGCTCCATTCTGCTTACTAAATCACCTTTAAGTTCATATAAGACATTTGTTCTGTTAAACTCAGTGGTTCAAAATGGCAGTGCTGAGCTGCAGTATAAATCTTTGTATCATCAAAGAATAAAACCTGCATTTGTCCAACAAAATATTTATTTAAAATAACTTTGCTTGCAGTTTTCTGTCCTCACAAACAAATGTTCTGCAAGTTGGCATATGGCAAAGGCACTGTTTGCATTCATTTTAAGGCAGCAATAAACAGCTTGATAAACACTATTATATAACACCTAAAGCATTACTTCTGATTTAATTGGTTAATTACTTCAGCAAATGTGCTGAAGTCAGCATATGGCAGTCGGAAATATGCATCCACAGACGATTGTAAAGGCTTTGGAGCTTTTCTGGGATCTTCATTGAGAACATGTACGCTTGTTTTCCAGCAATTTCCACCTTAAACACAGAATTTTTAAATTGTACCATCATTCCAACCTAGAGGAAGGTTTAGGTTTATTAGACACATTTAAGCCCATTCTGAGTATTTTTAAACTACTAACTGAAAGTGGAACAGTGCAGAAATCCTGGCTAAAGAGCTTTTGGAGCAGTAAAAGAAAAATAAAAGACATTTTCCAAATAAAGATCATGTTCTCATGTGAAAGGAGCCTCTTATTATTTGCTAGCCAGACAGAATGAAATACCACCATTTGTTAACCAAATTTAATTTGTGGAAAACAACTGTTGAAGAACACTCAAAATTACACCAAGATTGTATGTTAGCATAATTTCTCTCAAGGTACTTCCTATTGATTGAAATTGCCTCTAAAGTGGCAAGAATGTCCAAGGACTCGTGTGTGGAAATCAGCATTTATGCGCGGCTAATGTCTTTTCATTACTCAAGCTTGTAATGTTTGCAGAATGAGATCATAATCACTGCACGGAGTATTAGATATGTAAATCTTTCAGCATTGCTGTACACAGTTATAGCAAAGCTAAACACAACTTTCATCCTGCAGTGCAGAATGATATTTTTTATAGGTGGACTGTGTGATGCCTGGGTCCACTTGCCATGGTCCTTGGTTCAATTCTTCACCTTGAGATCTTTGCAGCACACCCCCCTTCCTACCCTCTCTCCATCTGGTGGAAGTTAATAACAGCCAGTAGTGCAAGAAAAGTCCAGCATCCCAAGGCTAACTCTAATTTAAATTCTCTAACTGTTACTTTCCCCTCCTGACTGATTGGAACATCAGAAGCGTGTCTCTGCTGCGTGTTCTTACAGGTGCCAACGTGCCGTTACAGACAACCTGTGTTTCTCCTCTGCTCATTGATTCATTTGCATTTTAACAGGAGCAATAAATCATGTCGCATGGTTTAGGGGTGGAGGTGTAAATGCTCACATCTGTGTGTCGGGACTCGGGAGAAACACTTCTGTTTGCAGGTGCCGGACTGAGCCGGCTCCCCGGGAATCTGTTGGTGACACGCTAAATGTGACAAATCTCAGTTCTAAAACTGAAAATCCCACACATGTCTGAGAGATCAATAAGGCCTGTCCAGCACTAACGATCACGCATATTAACACAACTTACATTGATGATTCATTAACATCGTAAAGTCCCATGAGCTACACCAACTGATGCACACTGTGGTTATCTGTGCTTGTGTGAAACAGAGCAGTGTGAGGTGAAACATGGCCATGCATCTCACAACTCACAGCTCAGAGTGGTTTCTGCAAAGACATTTCATGATGAGTAAAAGCATGTGCCTGATATTTAAAAAAAAAACAGATGCATTGATGGATCTAACAGGCATGTTGTTGGAAATTTTATAAAAAAACAATTTCTTTTTTACAGATTTTCTGTCTTTTCTTGACAGAAACACTCCCTTACACTCAGCGTGTAAGGGAGTGGTTTACTAATGACCTTCAAGTAGAAGGTCATTAGTAAAGTAAGTAAAGTTATTCTTAAAAATCTATTTCAGTAGATCCTGTGTATTTCAATATATATTTGTTCAGTTTTAACAAAAATCCAAAATTCTGATTCCAAGAAGTTTGAGAGTAAGACATAAGGCTAAATTAAAAATGAATGTTCAATACAGGAATGCTAATTTACCAACACAGCAGAGGAAAAACTGCTGACTGTTCACAGCATGCTGTTTATAATAAATATGTTCATGGAAAGTTTTCAGCAACTATTGACTCTCAGAGCAGTTTTCCCTTTAGGGAGATGATTTTATCTTCCAGGAGAACATTGTACTGGGCCACACTGCCAAAAGTGCCAACACCGGTATTAGTCACCATGGAAACACCAGCCAACAGGCCTGACCAGAACCCCAGAGAGCCTCCATGGAGCACGGTCCAGAGGAAGAGGAGAGACATCAGAACCAGCAATGTAGATGCGATCAAACTGGACTTTCTGAATATCTCAGCAGAATCAGATCTGAACTCCTCCATGCCACGGCGCATTGATGCAGTAATTCATGCAAAAAGAGCTTAGACCAGGAACTGACTAGAGGTACAGTACATTAGAGCTTTGCTGTTTTTAAAGGCACATTTCTGCATTAGAATTGATTTTTATTGCTTTGATTTGATATTTTTTACTATTACAGAAACCTGGACTTTTATTTTTAAGTCTGTGACTCTTCTCTGTTTCTCCCAGTGAAGCTCTGGCTTATTTATTTAAACCAATAAAGAAAGAAAGAAAAAAGATCTACATCGCAGTATGGCCACTGTGTGGCGCTGCACCGCCATTAAAACGCCATCAGCTCTGGCCTGCGTTCACAGCAAAGCTTACAACTGGCTTGGTTGTCTGACTGATGATCATGTCTGGAAACTCTTTGTGGATCTGCAGCCTGAGTGGCTTCAAGCTTTTAACAAATGGACGCTGAAACAAGAGGTGCGGCTTGATGTCAGAATCCTATTTCTCTCTTTGTTTTTTTAGCTTTAGCAAGCAGAATGAATTTAAGGATATCGATTAAAACAAAGTTCCAACTAAAACAGACAATGGGATATTTTTAGCATTCAGAGTAACTCCAACTTATTGTACATTCACGTGTACGCCTACTGCTTTTTAATCCTGAGCCTTAATCAATAGTGACATCTAATTAATGACATCCAGCAAACACAACCTGGGGAATCATGTCAGGCTGCACAAAGTTGATCTCAAATTTCTCAGCAGCTGCAGCTGTTCCTGCAGACTGCATGCACACAGCGACTACATGCAATTTGTTTTAGGTAACAGAAATATTGCAGAAGTTTGCGAGACGAAGAGCCTGATTAATTTCACTCTAAGCTGATCAGCACCGCCATTACTCAACAAACTGATGATCAACAGGAGGAAGAGGAGAGGAACTCTGGGGGGTCCTAATATCTCATTTTCCTGCCAGCACAATTTAGTTGAGATTAAACGGAAGCGCAGTCGTCCCAGGCATGTCTCATTATGACCGAATGAAACAAAATCTGATGTGCAGTTAGGACCATAATTATTCATACCTCCTTTAAAAATTGGGTTTTGAAGTAATAACCAATTGTAAGTAATAACTGTTGTGAATTGGATGGGGACTCTCTGATAGTAGGTAAAGATTAGGATGATGGCATAGAGGTCTTTCCACTTGAAACAACTAAAGCGGATCATCAAAGAGAAATCCAACAAATCTCAGTTGAAAACCAAAACTGTTTTCCCACCATATCAATAGCTGAATCATGAATATCCAGATACGGAGTATGATTGATGTATCTGTTTCAGTTGAACAGTTATTGTAATAACATCCTCAGGGATCTAGTGAGGCATTTAAACTCTGTGTTTTAGAGATTCAAGATTTATTAAACAATTCCTCCAAATGTTGGAATTTACTGACATTAGAAATTTTTCTTCTTAAAATATCCCTTAAGGAAGTCTTAAGCCCTATTTATGCCAGAGCGTTTTTATCTGCCGTCAGTTTAATGATCAAAAGCAGCTTTTATTTTGACATCTTCCATGTTTTTATAGTGGATTTTATTACATTTTGGTGCATTAACCATAAATCCCAGCAGTTCAAATGCCTTTCATCCTTTTAACGGAATGATCTGATGCCGGTGGTTTTTGTATGAATCAATTCAGCTACAGCTGAATGCATGA